TTAGAGGAGCCATTCGATGGAGCGGAGTCATGATGATGATGCTGCTCCCCCTCACCTGTTCCATGGAAGTACAAGTGACAGTACCAGTATCGCTTTCGTGTGGTCAACGCACAGACACACATGGCATTTAGAGGACACCATCAAAGGAATCGCATAGGCATCGGCGTCTACAGACCGACAATTATTACTGCTATCATACACAAGAGTTGCGGCGCTTGCGGCACGGCATGTACGCCGAACTGTGGACCGGCGGCAAGTGTCCGCCACGGACTCGCCGCTAATCGCGCTGTAGTATCCACATAAGGGCCCTGCTCAAACGAGGCCACCTCTGCCATCCCTACTCTGTTATTCTACGGCCACGAGAGAGGCTGGATCCTTCTGTGGGACGCATCTTTAACCTAGATATTGACTCGCAGCGTCTCCAGCTTCGTCGATCATGCCCCCTGCGAGGATCTATGCTTCTTCTGTGGGCATTCTGGCTGCAGGAGGGCGATCAGGGTCTTGCGGTATCGTGGCGCTAGCGATGTCCACATTGGAGTGACCCTGCACTTGGAGCTTGCCGTCAGCTGATGTAGACGTGTTCAGCTCCGTGACGAGGTCTTCACGCTCCGCGGATGGCTGTTGCAGAGATGTTCCTGTCGCGATAGCCTTCTCTGCAGCAGTAGGCGTGTTTTGAGTTGACACTCCAGGGTCATCGCGCACAGCATCCTCATTCCGCACCGGAACTTTCTCAGAATTGGGGCGAGCATCTGAGAGAGGGTCTAGGTTTCGCGTACTTGCGATGCCGGTATCCTCAAGGTTACCTGAGGTCGGTCGCAGAATTCGAGACTCAGACGACGCCTCAGGTATCTCAATTTCCGGTGCATCATGATCTGTGCACAAGGCATTCTTCCTTGGCTCGAGTTGCGATTGGTCGTATCCAGATACGACTGTTGGTTGAGACTCCACACTACTGGTGTTTGGCTGAGCTGCAATACTCTGGCACATTGCCTCGCTAGTCACTTGCATATCCTTGTGGGGCTCCTCGTGGGGTGTGGCTGGCTCTCGTACTTGATCGGCGCCCAGTGCCGCTGTGATTTCTGTTCCGGGAACAGCGTCATATCTTCGCTCCAGACCGTCGTCTCCAGATGCGATGATCTCCACCCGACCTAGATCTCCGTCCGAATGATGATCATTTCCATGTGTTGTTGTTATGGTATTTGAGACGAGGGTAGAGTCACACGCAGTCTCTGGGACATCATCCACTGCACTGACAAGCGATGGTTGTTTCCCTTTTCGCAAGGTGCCCCGGCCCCGTCTGCTTGTCGTGCCCCGAGCTTGCACTGATTCCGCGCTTGTTCCCTTAGCTCTTCGTGCAAGTCTTGCTGCACGAGCATCTTGAGGAGCATCGTCATCCTGCCTCACCTCTACTTCTGCATCGGCCTCCGGTGTATCAGCTTCGGGTTTCCCTGCAGTTGCGAGTTTCCGCAGCTGCGCCCAAGTCTTTGCTTTTTCGCTCTGCTTTGCAAGCTCTTCCTCGCTCAGCTCAACCCATTTGGCGCCAACTTTCTTCGTACCGGTGAACTTCAGGAAGGTCAGACCCGATCCACTAGTGTCCATGTACTCGGAACCCTCAGGCGGCGCATTTCTCCCTCGCGCGTACGTTTCGCTCGGTCGGTGATACTGCTCACTGGTCCTGTAATTCTCATGGAACTCGACTGAGTCGGAAAATTTGAGCCGCTTGCGTGACATAGAAGCTGATGAGCTGTGCGATCGTTTAGGCGATGGCCTGAGAGACAGCGATATGCCTTGTTGTCCATGTGGTGCTGTATCGGATGATTCTCCAGAGCGCTGGGTAGTAGGCGAGTGTGATCTTCGACGCTTGGGACCATCTATATCTTGTTTGTCGTCGTTGATAGAGTCCCCTCCTCCATGGTCCTTGTTCTCCGGGTGTTCATTCTGCGCGTCTCTTGCTGGTCCAGGCGCTTCGACAGTCATCAACCAGTTGTCGAACTCCATATGAGCCCTCTTGTGGTTATCTCGCGCGAATGATTTACTAATTGAGTCGCGCTTGTTTTCGAGTACAACCCATTCAGTATCGGCTTCTCTAATCGCGTCATACAGAGAGTCAAATCGCTGACATGTGCTGCATCCTGCATGGGAGGCATCCGGCGAGGTCGTAGGCACAAGCCCAGTGGCAGATACCACAGCGAGGACTCTAGCGCATGACTTGCACTTTACAGAGTCGTATTTGGTAGCCATCCGGGTGGTGTTTAGTTGCGAAAGTATTCGGTCGCTGGAGTAAGCGCGTTCGATTGACAAGGTGTGGACGTGAAGTTCGCGAAATTGATGAGAAATGAATGCGTGCACAGTTATTTTTGACTCATATATGTGCGAGCGCACTGATTGTAGTCGTAGTGGGGTGAGTAAACAGATGGTGATGGAAACAAAGACGCGACTGTGGAGATGTCACGTCTGCAACGAGCGCGCGTCGCCCTTTGACGCTTCTGCAAACAAGTGTCGTATTATGTGAGAGCAACAATCGCAAGAGTCGCATTGAAAGAAAAGCAATAGGATTAAGTCGTAAGACTTTGTTGTTCCGAGCACCGCATCGTTGTTGCCTCGCTATCGATAATCCCTGTCGGCAGTCCCCTTTTTGCACGTCCACAAACAGCAATTGCGATGCTTCATCTTCACTTCGCTCCACGCCGCCGGCCGCCATCCTTTGAATCTTGTCGCGCACATGCGCCGTGTCGGCACCTTATGATGCCCTCAAGCTGCCACAATATACAGACCTTAGACCGCTGTGTTGAGAAGAAGAGGATCGCATTCGAGAAGCTCCGCTAACGGCGGTGGCAATTACGTCATTGGAAACATTCGCAATCTCAATACACCCAAATCCCTAATAACAAAGCCCATCTGAATGCCCGAGCGCAGGGAATTCTACATGCTGCGCCGAAGGGGTGATCAGTACCCAATATCAAAGTGTGAGAAGCGCGGTATGTTATCATGCTGACCAGAGGCATAGCTCACGGCCATAGACGGATCGTGCAATGTCCGGTGAGCCGCGTAGTCGGCCGTATCTCGCGGTGTTGCAACTCTCACTACAGTCGTACCAACTACTTTCATTATGTCTTCCAACATTTTTTCAGCTGGCAGCATATGAAGGTATGAGCTTGAGGCATTGCCTGCGTATATGACCCCAAGAAGTTTCCCCTCTCGGACAACCCAAGAGCCCGATAAGCCAAGACCTATCCCGAACTTTAGCTTACGTCCAGCGTACTAGACACGCAAACGTACCTGGAGTCATGGTGACCTGAATCATTTTTGTAGGCATTACAACACCCTTCACAATGATAGAAGCATTGCCATCCACCATATAACCCTCGTCTGGGTTATCGTAGCAGCTTGTAATGATCCACACGGGTCCAGCACATAGCTCAGATGTTTCCTCGATACTAGAGACTGTGTTGACTATCCTGCGATTCGTATCGTGATATGTATTGGATAACACGTAGAATGATGCAGGATCTATTAAGGCAAAGTCTGAAGCGCTGACGATGGGGTCGTCAACCCTGGACCCATGAACGTATACGTCGCCCAGATATGCGAATGTTGTTGGGAAGGGCGTCTGCGTCCAATTGTTCGAACGCGACGCTGTAGGCGAGTGCATCCAATTGTTCGAACGCGACGCTGTAGGCGAGTGCATCCAATTGTTCGAACGCGACGCTGTAGGCGAGTGCGTCCAATTGTTCGAACGCGACGCTGTAGGCGAGTGTGTATCCAGATCTGGCTCAGGGCTTTCACTTCGCGTGGGCTGAGGTTCGTCGAGAGCATGCGCCACAAAAGCGTGGGCGGTCGTCATGGCGAAGAGCTGATCGTTTACGGATATCAGACCGCCAATAGTGGAGTAACATTCGATAGTGCCATTCCACGTTTCCATTCTAAACCTAGCTCTGGCCCCGCACAGACTGCTCGATTGGGATGTATCATCTTGGATGGCAAAAGAGTGGATAGAAACCTCCAGACTTCCTTGAACTTCCATTGCAAGAGGATGTGGACCGTTTGGAGATATATGAGGCATCCCCAACAGCTGTTGGTGTTCAACGAAGTCAAGGAGCCAATCGAGACAGGACAATGATCGCCAGATTGGCCTGATCCACCTCTCGTTATGGCATTCGATCCAAATTGTGGGTTCCAGCAGGATCTGATTTTGAGAAGATGAACTTTTGTTGTTGATACGTTGTGAAACGGTAAGCTTGATAGCCATACACAGATAAGAAGCTATCATGGAATCTCTCGTGCCCGACGACGGTAGCGTCGTAGTGAGCCCTGCAAGGGTAGTGTCAAGTTGTCGGCGAACTTTATCGAACGTCTTCTGCAGTTGAAGCGGAGGCGGAGCATCTCTCAAGGTGCCTACAAGGTAATCATCAATCCTTCTGGTGTGGCGCAACTCGACCGGCCTTGAGTGCGCTCGCTGTTGAATAGGCGACACGGCTCCGTTCATTCTTCTTCTCTCAGAGTACTTCAGGTTGACATGTGATGTGAGCCCTTGTATGCGATCAGTGACTGGAGTGAGGAAGTAATGTGATACCTTAACAGGCCACCTGGTCGTGACTTATCAGCCTTGCGACTAAGTACAACATGAAATATTTGAAGTCAAACTTACAAACCGACACGAATGCTATAAAGTTTATGTCAAAATACCAAGCCCAAGATGCTTACGATTTGAAAAGGTGGGCGCAGTGTTTTGGAAATGCAGAAGATGAGGGGCATCAGCTGAAGGTGCCTAGTTGTCCGTGGCTTGACCGGACAAGCGCTAGCTACGTCGCAGCTGAAATACATGCGCGCTGACGTCCTGAGGCTGAGTCTAGAACAGCAAGATATTGCTTTTGAAATGCATACCCCGCGTCCAGCTGAAAGGTGGTACTTGTACACGAGAACGCACTCCTTTTCCCTTATCGTACGAAAAGCCTTGGAAGCGTTGTGGGTGCTCCATCAAAACAGAACCAACCGCTATCATGTCGCTTGACAGTAAAAATCTGTTTTCAGAGTCCTATTTGCAGGAAATTCTTGGCTTCACGCCACAAGAGAAATGTACCTTGATCAATTCTTTCTGGCCTCAGCTGAATCTTTCAGAAAATACATACAGCCACAAGAAGTACGCAAGCTTGCTACAATTCTGGGGCAGCACGCTGCAGAACTTGCATCCTCCTAACTCCAAGTTTGCGACAGAAAAGTGGGGTGGCCTCCTTGCTATAGTGAATGAGCTGAGGTCCGATCGAAATGGGACAAGGGAAGTGTTAGTCGCCAAGATCAAGAAGACATACCTTATGAACTTCAGCAATGAGACTATTTCGGGTTCCATGGAGCTTGCAGTCCGGCTCTGGCTGGGGATACATGTTTACTCCAACGAGTCGCCCAATTTGCTCAAGAATCCAATGGATACATGTGTCCCTTGGGCGGATGATCAATCTTTGGGGGAAGCAATTGCTGTCCACTTCTCTCAGAAAGCGAAAGCAGCACAGTCCGTGCAAAATCGTCCACTTGACATGTCGTTCACTGCTATGGGCCTAAAGAACACGCACCGATTGGATCTACTCTGGACCGACAACTTAGTGGATCATCTGAAGCTTGAAGGATCCACTGGAGACCGACGATTATTCATCTACAAACAGAAGACTTGTCTTGTCAACCATCGAGACGAACCGACATCAACAATTGTTTCAAAAGACGTCTTGAATGAAACTATCAGAACCCTCGATCTCCTGTTTCCCGCTGGAGACGATCAGGCACGAGAATTCTTGAACGAGTCCAAGGTGCAAATGTGGATACTAGATGGATTAATGCAACCGCGGGCGACCGAGCTGGATGACTTCAAGTACTGGAAGAGCCGTCTCGCACGATTACTGGATTTGTTGAACAGTCCTCCGGAGACAGTGCTCCAGGCGCTGACGGATAGGAGAAACCCCGCCGAGTTTGCAACATTATGGGTGGCTGTCTTCGGAGTCTTCTTCCTGACGATCATGTTTGGCGTCCTCTCGACAGTCTACTCGGTCAAACAATACCATGTCGCTGTCGATTCATACAAGCTTGCCCTTGCGCAAGCCTGCCAACAAACTTCCCCACCGTTACCTGGCTATTGCGCTTAGTCGACAACATGCTTCCGTCACCAGCAGTCGATAGCAGGAGTCTGGAAGCGCTCAACAGCATCGAACTTCGCGGAGCGGATAGAGGAGGGTCGAACAATGGTGGCCGATGCTATGATATATCTGTTTTGTAACTAAATTCATGCTCATCGACATTGACTGTCTCACATACTTCTCACCCAATCATCGCAATTACACCTCCAGAAAATATGCAATGCTACCATCTCATTCAACCTCTCTCCCAGAAAAGCATGTAACGCCCATTCTCGCAATGCCATACTTCCCCTCACTGGCATCCGACTCCCTCCACCACTTCCTCTTATCACCAGAATCCACCCTACGAATCCCTCCGTCTCCTCGACGGCGGACTACTACCATCTCTCTTCACCCTCGGTGCCGGACTTCCACTATCGTCCCTCTTCATTCTCGGCGGCGGACTACCACTATCCGCCCTCGCCTTCCCATTAGCCTTCGACGGTGGCGGCGGGGAACTAGTATCCCTCCTGCGAGTGCGACGCGGAGGTGGACTGCCACTATCCGCCCTCGCCTTCCCTTTCCCCTTCGATGGCGGGGCACTGCTCGAGCCACGTCTACGCCTGGGCGGCGGAGTGCTAGAGTCACGACCACGACGGCGTGGTGGTGGGGATGGCGAACGCGAGGGTGAGGACGTGTACTTCCTGCGGCGGGGAGGTGGAGAACGGGATAGCGAGCCGGATGGGCTGCGTCCTCGTCGTGTGGTCTTGGATTTCGGGGGCGGAGAACGGGATCGGGAGGACGAGGGACTGCGGCGGCGTCTCCTGGGCGCGGGGGAGCGGGATCGAGAGAGGGAGGTTGAGTAGGAGCGCTTGCTCTTGAGTTTGCGTGGTGCAGGGGAGCGGGATCGCGAGCGGGATGCGGAGCTGTAGGAGTCGCTTCTGCCACGGCCTCCACGTTTACGAGCTGGTGTTGGGCTGCGTGTGTACGAGCGTCCTCTAGAGTCGGATCTGGATCTTGATCTCGAGTCGCGCCTTCTGCGAACCGGGCTCCGGGAGCGTGAGTAGCTGCTCGAACTGTAGCTTGATCTTGACGAAACGCTGCGGTCGTCGTCGGAGTTGCTCTCTGGTTCGGGCAGCGGTTTCGGCTTGGGCGCAGCGTTCTTGAGCCAGTCGCGCATGCCTTCAGTAAGCACACCCATACCGATCGCGGTGAAGTAGTTGATCGAGAAGCGGGTCTTGCTCTGGTCGTCGGCATCGGTGGGGAAGAGTCCAGTAAGGCTGTCTTGTAGCATGGGGTCCTTGAAGCGCTCCACAACCACCTTCTGCCCGAGAGAAGCCAGCAGCTCTTCGAACAAGATCTTGACGAAGATACGCGAACTAGAGGTGGTATCTTCTTCGGTCATCTTGACCACCTGGAAGACGTGCCAGCCGATACCGTCGGATGCTAGCAGATGCGCGAAGAACTGTGCGATGATACGAAGGCGGTTCGTTTCGAAGCGGTGGATAGTCTCGTAGTAGTGCGCGAATGCTTCCTCGAAAAGGTCGGTCCACATCCTGTTCAGCTTGCAGAAGCGCTCTCCAATCATGCCGTAGAACTTCTCGTATGTGCGCTCCTGGCTGGCGCACTCGACAATCATCGTGGTGAGCTCGTTCTCCAAGCCATGTGGCAGGTTGATGCGCATGAGTTTGTGCACGCACTCCTCAAAGCCACCGCTGCTCTTGATGGTCAAGTAGATCGTTCTTCGCAGGTTAACGAGATCCGCATTGGTCTGATCCTTGACGTCCATGGCCTTCACTTCCTCGTCCTCTTCATCCTCAGATGACGCATCTGTGTATCCATCATCGTCGCTACCCTCCTCTTCGCCTAGGATCTCTGCCTTGATCTTCGCGTACTCTTCCTCGTGCGCTTCGTAATCGGGGTCGACCTTGAAGAGGTTGAGACCATCCTCAACCTTCAAATCACCCTCGAGCGTGTGGTTGTGGGTGATCTGATCCTCCTCCTCTACCAGGTCCAAGTCCTCCCTGATAACCGGGTTGTCCTTGTACTTTGTGCGCCTGACCTCGAAAAGAACCTCAATCATGTATTGTGTGCGCTTGTCGATGTCGGCTTCGTGGAGGATGTTGCGCATCTGGTCGAAGATGGCATTCGCGATCGCAGGCTTCATCTCGTCGAGGAAAGCGCCGACCTCTTTCATGATACCGACGGCGATCTCAACAGAGTCGTCGGAGGGCTTGTTCAGCAAGAGGAGCAGGATCTCGGCGATCAAGATCTCGTGGACGACTTGCGTGTTGACGAGGTGGGAAAGAAACATGGTACTCGATAGCGCCACGGCCTTGTCGTTCCTCCTGAAACCCTTCCTGAACTGCACAATCAGGCGCCGAACCAGCAGATCGCCAACTTGAGGCAGCTTCGTATTGACAATAGAGACCATAGCCGCATAGATAGGCGTGAAAGGCAAACTCGCCGCTTGCGCCTTCATAATAGCTCTGCAGAACAGCCCTCGTCCGCGCACCAAGTTCTCCGAGAACAGCTCCGGCACGATCATCTTGATATTCGCCGTATTCGTCTTGTTGATCAAACCCTGGATCGACTTCTTGAGCGCCTCCCAAGCCATGCGCTGAAATTCAGGGCTGCTCTTATCCGTAATCGACTTCTGCATCTCGCGCAGGCGCGCAGGCGGGATATACGCGCCTCCAGCACGTGTCTTTGAGTCGTCAACGGGCAGCTTACGGTTCGCGCTGAAGGCATTCTGGAACAGCTTCAAGCGGGAGTCGTCATCGGGAAGGTCGTTGGTCGTAGGCTTTGGCGGCGGGCGACGGCCAATACCGCCATTGCGACGGTCGTCCTCCTCTTCATCCCTCCTGCTTCGCTTTGATGGCCCAGTACTCGGTCCATCGTATGGGGAACGCTCGCGTTTGCGCGGAACCTCTTTGGCGTCGAGCTCGGGCTCAGGTGAGGGCAGACGGACGGCAGATGCGACCTCCATCGTCGCGCAGTGGATCGTGTTGGAGGTGGAGGATGGCGAGTGTTGAGGCGGAGAGTGACGCGCTTCGCAAAAGTTTAGCTTACAGGCGGTTGGGCGATCGAAGGTTGCGGCGAACGGGCCGCGGTTTCGCCGACAGGGGTCTTGGCTTGGCGCGACTTTGGGGGGAAGGGCCAGCGAGGTGATTGTAACCACCATTACTCCAAGCTAATACACTCGTTCACTCTTTCGCCAATCTTCACAATGGTATGCTCTCACACGTATAGCATTCAAGGCTGCGTACTGACCAACTATAACAGGCCGATCGCCTCGTAGGCCTCAGCATGCTCGTCGCAGCGACTGCCATCTTCGTCTACTACACCGTCTGGACTCTGTTCATGGTATGCTTTTGTGTGATCACTTCGTTCTGGTACATATACTGACTCTATATAGCCCTTTGTAGACGACGACCACATCCTCCACTCCCTCTTCCTCCCACGCGTCTGGGCCATCCGCATCCCCGTCATCCTCCTCATCCTGGGCACTACGGTCGTCGGCAGCTTCCTCTCAGTGGTCATGATCAGGAGCAATCGGAAGAAGGCACTCAAGGCTAAGCAGAAGAAGGCCTCATAAACGCTTACGGCATTGGGTGCGAGTAATAATCTTCCACAAAAGGGGTCAGCTTGGAACGGCGCAAGAACATTTAGTTGCGTCGATATAATTGGATTGGTAGCTGGAGAGCCTAGAGGCATAATGAAGTCGTTCAGATGTTCAGTCTCGCCTACATGACATTGCAGTTCTCCTCTGTGATGACAACCGGTCTACCACCCTCTCCTTCCTCATCACCTCCACCACCACCACCCTGCCCACGGGCAATATGCCGAGCCAATTGCGCGAAGACAGCCTGGCTGATGAAGTAGTCGTCTCTTCCACCCTTCCTGTCCATGTCGTTCTGACTCGTAATCTGATAAGCCTGATGCATCCTTCGTCGACTACTGAGTCCACCAGGGGCAACCTCATCGTCACTGTCGCTAGGAGCATCGACGGCAGGCTCACTTTCAGCCTCAGGTTCGGCAGCGCGGTTGCGACGGCGACGACCGAAATTCAGACTGGAGAAAGCAGCCGGATCGGACGAATGCACTCCGACACCTTTCCGTGCGTTACGCTGGAGCTGCGCATCTGGAGAGAAGATCTTGATAGTGTGGTCGATACCTGAAACCGCCATCGTAGGTTCATAGGGGTGACCTGATCATGTTAGAGCCTGCGTCGCCATGTTTGTGTACTTATACTTTGACTTACCTTGAATGACGTTGACCACCTCTCCATCTCCCTCTAGGATATTTACGAGTTCCGCTGTCTTGCGATCCCAGATGAACACGTGGCCTGAGTCGCTTCCACTGACCACGTACTCATCCTGCAGTCCGAAGTAGTTGACGTCTTTGACTGTCCTGGCGTTGCAATGCCCAGTATAGACACGTGTATGAGGTACACAAGGTACATCGCGCTCCACCCTCCATCGCCCGTAGCGACTGCGGCCAAAGTCTGATCGCCATAACATGTTTCCAGATCTTGTGCGTGATAAGCCTTCTTCGTCTTCGTCGTCAGTGTCGTCCTCTTCTTCTCCATCATCCGATTCTATATCGCCATCACTGTCTTCGTCGTCATCATCATCGTCGTCCTCTTCTTCTTCATCCCCGTCTTCGTTCTCTTCATCGGCGCTCTCAATAGCCACAGAACCCGACTCGTTCGCGTTGGCAGAGCTGGAGGTAACCTCATCCTGATCATTACCCTCTCGTGTTGATGTGCCGATAAGTTCTGCATCACGAACCGGACCCTCGTCTACCGAAGGATCGATATCCTCCTGTTTTTCTCTCAACGCCTTCTCTTCGGCTCTAATCGTCTTGTCTGATATGCCTTGGCCGCCGTAAGCGCGGTCTACGAAAGCGAATTTGATGTCCTTGGCGGCATTGCGTAGAACACCCCTCCCAACATAGTACACCCATCTTCGTTTTGCCGTAGCTCGGGTTTGTGTGGGCTCGCTAGAAGACGCCGACTCCGATGTGGACTCGTTCTCGCCGGTGAGATCCGCAAATGGTATTGCGATGGCATGGCCGAAGGCATCAACAGCCTCAAACTCGGAGTCATACAAAACGCGGGTGCTGTCTGTCTCATATTTGGAAGCATCGACGTTGACGATCTTAGTGTCGTCTGCCAATTCGATCAGGTATGGGATCAGTCGTTCTTGAATGGCATCCATATCCGAACCATGGGGGATGGGAAAGCGAGTACTACCACTCCGGCTCGAAAATCCTTCCACGACTGCTCCAGGGCCACTGTCGATCCATAACAGTATGGCTTTCAGGAAGTCGTATCCGAATTGCTCATGTTGTGGTGGATCGCGCTCTCTTGGCGCTGGTTGTATTGAAGCGAAATACTGGGCGATCAAGGCATCAGAGCTTGATCCAGTCAAAAGCTGTCCACCTAGCACCCGTGCTAACGTCCCAGCCGCTTGCACGAATCGACGAGACGCTGCCCTGCTATCGCGAAGCTTGTTTTGTACTGCAACGTCCACAGGATCTGGATCAATTGGATAGCCCCACGTCCTATCGATGTCGTCCATGTCGGGCAAGATCGAGTTCGCTAGACCTACAATGGATGTGCATGCGAGGTGGATTCCAGACTCCCCAAGCTCACCTAGCTCGAAAATTCGTTTCGCTATCTTGACAGTTGTACTTGCGATGCGGTAGTGGTCTGATGCTCGTAGATCGTTCAATTCCTCTTGCGTCATGTGGTTCTCGGCAGGAGGATGGATACGGATATCTTCGCTCTGACCATTGCCGTACGTCACTCGCAGTGCCAGATCCTTGTCGGCACTTTCGGTGCGTTGTCTTGATTCGGCTCTCTCAACACCTTCTTGAGACAAGGTACTAGACTTCGGTCGCTTGCGCTTCCTGTTCGTGTCCTTCACGCGATGGCCAGATGCACTATTCGACGTCTTGATGGGCGTCACGTTCTCTCTAGCATCTGGCGCCCGTAGAATATCGAAACTGTAGATGTGATCCTGAGACCAGCTCACAACGAGCTCGTTCGGCTCGGCATCACTAATTTTGCATGCTGTGATGTGACCACCATCATTTCTCTTCATGCGCTGCTTTCCGTTGGGCGCAAACTTCTTCACACATTGCGTCGCCTTCCCTAATAGCTCATCGTCATTATCGTTCCAATTCTCTGGACTCGAAAGCCTAGATCCACGCTCGTTGTTTAAATCGCGGCCAAGCATCCGTCGGTCATGCAGGAAGCAATGGAGATGTGCCCCACCGAGTGCAATGTAATGCGGCTGACTAGGCGAGCATGACACGGTATTGAGATCCAGTCCATATCGAGCATACGAGATGAGTGGCGGCGGGATGCTGTCCGAGGCATCTTCATCTCTCGCCCATGCGGGCAGCATGGTGTCTCGCGGAGGTGGATATGCCTTGGACGGTTGCCGTACATCCCATTGTCGTACCTCGCCATCGTTCGAGCACGTAAGGAAATAGAAGGGGTTGTCTTCAGTGACGATCCGCTTCACCGTATCGGCGTGGCAACGGAATGCTTTCGCGTTGGTGTCCCCTTCTGTGAGCGTCAGCCTGCGGCGTGCTCTGCCTGTACTGCTCGCATTGCCTGTAGACCGGAGGGCCGAGTGGCCTGAATGCTCGATATCGAATATCCGTACATCGTCTGTCGCGCTGACAATTGTGCGATCGTTGGAGTAGGGCATGAACTTCACGGAGAAGATATTAGACTGATGTCCTGTCTGGATTGAGGTGGTAAGATTGAACTGCGACGTCGACGATTCGGGGTGGTACGAGTGGATGTTGATGCGATGGTCGTCGGAGCCAGAGGCGAGGAGGCGGCCAGAGGTCGACCAGCTGGTAGAGTCAGATTATGCCACAAATGTACAAGGAGGATAGTGACATACCTGAGAGCATTGACACATCCGTTGTGGCCTTCTAGTTCGTTTACGATATCGAGGTCGTCCACCCATTTACGGTCGCCGTATATTGATCGTATGTCCGAGTATTTCCTAGGCTGTTGTCCGACTTCGCGCTTGAGTAAGCGATCGTATACAGTGTACTTCATTGTGTCACGCTGTGTAGTCTGCTGGAAACCGGCTGAGTCTTGAGAGCGCAGCTCGAGGAAGTCGCGAGAGGCAAGAGGCACCGGAGGCGATGCTTCCAAAAACAGCTGAGCAAGTGCGATGTTAGGCTGTACAGGTAAGGTCAATCAGGTGGCACGATACGCAAGTGAAATCGCTTCTGTGCGGGCATCGCGACAAAGAGGTTGTGGCGTTGGTGCAGGTTGCGCGTTCGCATGTGTTCAATGGTCGCGAGGGCATGACGAAAGGTGACTCCACCCACGTTTTGGAGCTCCAAGCTTCACCCCCGCGGCCTCCCGCAGCCGATCCCCAACACCCGTCTTCCCCCATGCATCATTAAAAGGCTGGGGCCAGCCCTCGACATTCTCAACAGTCACGAACAATACCTCTAATATTGCGCTATCTATTCCTCCCGACGAAAGACCTTGGAATTGACGCGCATGCTGTCACTTGTCTCTACGAAGCGTGTGGATTTCTAGCATCTTCTAGGCTTGCATCGTTGTGAAGGTTGGCGGGCAAAATTGATATTGACCAAGTATGAACAGGAAGAATAATCGCGCGTACTCGCATGGCATACAACTACACCTAGTGGTATCTAAAAAACGTACGAAGTGACATGAGAAACGTAAACATCCAACTACAACACACAACACTCTCCAATCATTCAGCCTAGAAAAGTAGAACGGCGCCGACAACACCAACAAGCATCATGAACCCAGCTCCAACACGGCTAGCAGCGCCCTCGAACTCCGCAGGCGGGGTGTATGCGGAAGGCATGGCAGGCTTACCGGTGCCGGTGGGCATGGGCGCGTATATGCTGGTACCGTTCATAGCAGGGCCGGCAGGGACGTAAGGAGCACCTCCAGCAGTTGGATAAGGAGCAGGAGTGTAGGCGGGAACTGCGACCTTGGTAAGGGTCATGTACATGGTGCTAGTAGCCTCTTGCTCGACTGGCTTCTTGGGGTACTCGGGCATGGCAGGGTACTCTGCGGGCTTGGAGGCCTCGGGCATAGATGGGTACTCAGCGCCCTTGGAAGCTTCAGGAACCGATGGGTACTCGGCAGCCTTGGAAGCCTCAGGCGCGATGGGGTATGCGGGCATCGATGCCTCAGGAACAGCCGGGTACTCAGCAGCCTTGGAAGCCTCAGGCACAACAGGGTACGCGGGCATGGACGCCTCAGGGACGGCAGGGTATGCAGGCTTGCCTGAGGACACGGGCTTAGCCGGGTAGTCTGCAGGGTATGCGACGGAAGGAGCAGAGGATGGGTATGCGGGCATGTGGGTGGCGGTAGCGATGGGCTTGGTGATGGTTACGGTAATAGTGCTGGCAGTGTAGACGCTGGTGGTCCAGCCCTCAGGTACGTCGGTCGAGCCGGTGGGCTTTGCGCACTTGGTGCAGACGGTCGCAACGTAGGTGGTGGTGACGGTGGTCAAGCCAGTGGGGCAGAAATCGACGTAGGTAGCTGTGAGATGTTAGCGGATGCTTTTAAGCTTCCAGATTCATTGCGAACTTACTTGTGACGACTGAGGTGGTGGATCCAGCGGGAACCTTGGAAGACTCAGGGTACTCGGGCTTCTCGGTCACCGATGGGACGCTCACGTGGCCAGTGCTGGATGCAACAGAGCCCTTGGAGCTCTCAGCAGGGTATGTAGCAGAGACAGTGTCGGTGGGGTACATCGGCGATGCGGTGGAGTATACACCAGATGAGTAGACAACAGACGAGTGGCTTTCGGATGGGTAAACAGCAGAGAATGACATGCTGTACTCCATGGAAGGCACGTATGGGGTAGAAGACGCAGCCTCGGGGGTGGACGCAGAGACAGTGTCAGTGGGGTACATGTCGCTGGAGCTTGAAGCACCGGGGGTAGTCGCAGAGACGGCGCTAGTCGGGTACATGTCGCTGGAGCTTGAGGCCGACAAGGACACTTCGTTGGAAGCAGAGGTCTCGCTTGGGGAAGGAACGTAGACGGAGCTGCTGGCGGTCTCGGAAACAGAGATCGTGGCGACAGATGACGGCTCAATGAGGGTGCTGGAGACGGTCTCGATGGTGCTGGAAGTCTCGTATACCGAGCTGGCGCTGACAGTGGCGGTGATCTCAGGGACGGAAGACGACTCAATCATGCTACTACTGGCAGATTCGATGGTGCTGGAGGTGTCGTATACCGAGCTGGCGCTGACAGTGGCCGTGATCTCGGGGACGGAAGAGGACTCAATCATGCTGCTGCTGACAGACTCGATGGAACTGGCAGTGATAGTCTCAGTTGGGAGAGGAACGTAGACCGACTCGCTGCTGGAGGCAGATGCAGAGATCGTAGCGATGGACGAGGGCTCGATCATGGTGCTGCTGACGGTAGCAATGGAGCTGGCGCTCTCACTGGCAGTGGGCATTTCGCTGTAGATTGAGCTGCTCTCCTGGACGGAAGAAGAGCTGGAGGCTACGGAAGAAGATTCCACCACGGATGAGCTGGAAGAAACGTGGACGGAGCTGCTGCTGGAAGCCGAGCTCGAGGTGACGTAGGCAGACGAAGATGAAGCACTGCTGCTGGTGATCATGGTGCTGGGAGTAGGAGTGCTGGAGGAGACCATGCTGCTGGAGACAGGGGTGCTGGAAGTCATGGCGCTGCTCGATATGGGAGTGGAAGACGAGACCATCGTGGACGAGACCATCGTGGACGAGACCATCGTGGACGAGACAGGGGTGCTAGAGGATGACAGCTTGGTCGAAGTCGGGGTAGCGGTGGAAGAGGACAGAGTGCTGGAAGATACGACAGGGTGGAAATCCTTCTTGAACGTTCCGTCAAGAGACTTCTTCATCCAAGTACCGAATGATTGGCCGTATGTTGGGTTCTCGACAGAGACAGTCGCTTCCCATAGCATAACACCACCAAAGTTGGGGTGGGTCTTGTAGAACCCAAGCAAGTAGTCTGCATCTTCAGGCGAGACATAGTGCTCCTTGTGGGTAGGGAGACCAGCAGGACCGGCAGGCAATCCGATGTAGAACTTAGCGCTGGGGTTCATCGATTTTCTGATCTCGCTTGTCCATTTGTCGAAGGTGAAGGTGCTGGGCTTTCCGTTCTTCTTGTCCTCGACTTCCTTGGCAGCAGAGCACTCCCAAGTGTTGTAGAATTGAGTGAAGATCATGTCGAACTTCAACTTCTTCATGATTGGGGAGATCCTCGCATCAGGGACGATGCACTGAGGAGCGGCAGAGAGGAGCATGCTCGAGTATTTCTTGACGTAGTTGCCGAAGAATTCGTAGTTGGCGTAGATGAATTTCTCATCGCCTCCGGGCATGTCGTAGAATTGCGCTTCGAGGTCCATGTCAAAGCCGTCCACGAACGCATCACCGAATGGGCGCGGCTTGTCGGCGGCCTTCCACTCAGGGGTAACCTTGCCGTACGCACCGAGCAAGAACTCGGCGGTCCATTCGGCGACGTCCTGGTCCTTGAGGTAGTAGTTCGTAGGCCAGCCACCTCCGATGGAGAGCATGACCTTCTTGCCCCTCCTGTGACAAGCATTGATAGCCTCCTCTATGCCGGGGCATGAACTGTAAAGAGTGCTGTTCTGCTTCAAGACCGGATCGTAATATACATCACTACCACACGCGTTGGCATGGTTGCTTCCGGGGTATGCGCCTCGCACTGTAGGGAACGAGTTGATGACTTTTCGATTCAGAACTGTTAGCATTGCTTCCTCGTGAACGGTCGAAAGATAAAGTAACTTACAGCCGATGTTGACAATGTCGACGTTAGGGTCAGTGCAGACATCAATCAGTGGGATCTGATCGTATCCCTGTCCCCAGTACATAGCAATGTTCGTCTTGGCGGCAGCGTCGTAAGTCGCAACAGCGCCAGAGACAAGAAGTCCAGCTGCGAAAGCAGCGCGAGTGAAGGTCGAGGGAAACATGATTATGGTATTAACGATATAAACAACGATATGCGATTTTGAATGATAGGACGGCCGGGGCCAGTAAAGATCGTGATGAGCGGACTCAACGAAAGGACGCAAGCAAAAATGCTGCAATTAGGATGTAGACTCGAAAGAGTGACTTGACGACGAACCGGAAAGCAGTGCGACTGACGATGAGAAAAGAAGACATGGGAGATTGCACTATATCTAGTCTTGGCCCACAGGGCTGAACCTGCATGAGCGAGAAGGGTCGGACGCTGACTGCGCCGTTTGGTGGCATGAGGCCATCGTGCAGATTCAGACGGCAGACATCGTGTGCCTGCAGGAACAGAACGATGGCTTCCGTAGTTCCATGCCATTGGTAGAGGTGCCTGGATCCTAACTGCTTCGGGTCTGAAGTGTCGTCGGGCGTCCAGCAGTACCTGCGTCTAGGCGAGCGCTAACCATCAACATGGCTTTTGGAAACGCTTCCATGTGATGCCTCACCCTAGCTTCAAGACCGGTGAATGGGCCGTGTCTAAGTATCGATAGCATCAATCTCGGTTAAACCGTCGAGAGTGCTCCTTCGACCGTCAGCAAAAGGAAGGAGAGTTGCTGATGCATAATGGAACGGCTCAGGACGGCATTCGGTCCAGCTTCCCGGTGGCGTCGTTGTTGCATGCCTATAGTATGGACAGACACATAAAGCCAACAACCTCTGCTCGGGTTGGCATTACCTCTTGCGCTGGTTTGGCAATCCCGGGTGAGTTGGAAGAAGAAGATCCTGGTGCCAAAGCGACCTCCTGAATCTGCAGTCGGTACCCGTGGACAGTGTAAACACCGGGTCTCTCGGTGGCTGCCTGCAGGAATCTTCTCATGGCTGCATGGTTGCAGTGGTTTCATCCCAATGGGGGTACCGGTCCGAACAAATTGGTGAGTTGGTGTTGGGATGGCGTCGGCTACGGCTCAAGCGATGCTTAAGTCAGGGGCACCGAGCGTTAACCATTCCTCTTCGAGACAGACCCTTTCAGCCCTGTCAGAACCGCATCCTTCAAATAAGGGTGTCTATCTTCAGCCGTCTTGGCTTGTGTGACAGTAGCGATCAATACAAAGACATGGTCTGCTCGAGCACTTACGCCTTGTTCATCTGGCTGCGCCCTTCGTATACACATCATCCGCCTGACCGTTCTTCTGCCGCATCAGTCAGCCAAGATTTACGGCGCAGTATTCTTGGTGGAGAGGTGTGTGGGTCTAGCCTGAGACTAAGTTTTCCTGCGGGAGGTTCGCGACAGTGGCTACCCATTGGCATCGCGAAAATGACACGCCCAAGGGCTAGCAAACGCGCTGACGCGGGACCAATGGTTTGACCACGGCGGGAGCTATTGAAAGTTGCATCGCAGAATCGGCCGTAAGGATAGCTTCTCGTGCTTCTGAGTCATCTGCAGTGCCGATGTTCCGTCATCGTGAGCATGTCGCAGGATTTTGGAATGTAACCTCGGAGCGCGCGCCTGCCGCAGATTGCTGGGCGAAGGAGTCGAGTAGGCGCGCACCTATATTGCTGGAGCCTCTGTCTAAAGACTCGTGAAAAGACACTTCAAGCCAGAACGCGAAAGCCAGAATAAGAGTATGTATGCGCAGCTGTGCGTGGTATGACGGGTCCGGGGTCTGCAACGTGAACGGGTTGCGCAGTCGGTGCGAGGTGATGTGCAGACCCACGGCGGGTGGGTGCCCAGTGCAAATCATGGGCTTGCGTTCGCCGATCCCCATCCAACACGACCGCGCGGCACTCTTCTTTGCAAGCTTAAGCAGACCTCACTTCGCCTTAGACAGAGAAAATGGTGAGTGAAGTCGTACAGCATTCGCATCTATCTACCCAGTCTAAGTATGAATTATAAAAGTCGTAAATTTTCTAATGTCCCTCCAAAGCATGCCCGTCCATGTCGTCTCATTTCCAGTCGGCGTTGACGTAACGCAGCTCACAAGCCTCCATCCTTTACTTCCCCCTCATCAAGCGACAGCAAAGCGACTCCGCTCTCGCAATGTCTTGCCGTACCTGTATAGCGCAAAGATGCCAAACGAACACAACACCATGCATCCCGCCAGCAAACTCACACCACCATCGATCCCAATACCCTGAAACATTGGTCTGGCGAACAGGATCGCCGCAAACGCAAATGCGCTTCTGCTAAGACTATTGGCACTAAAGATGCTGGCTGCGTATGTCGGATAGATGTTGGGGATGTACAGCAAAACGCTTTGCGCGATGAAGTAGATCCCAAAACAAGTAAGACTGAGACCAATGGTAGGCACCATCCAGTGGACTGAGGGTCTTGATGCCCATGCGAACATGAACAACCCTACCGCGATGACGGGACTAGCTACCATGCCGGGCCATAGATGGTTTTCGAGCTCGCCGAACGTCCCGTTCATGAGGCGGGGAAAGACCCGGTACTTGAGGTACAGCACGTGTGCAGCGAAGGCGCCAAGGCAGGCTGGGAGGATACAGAGGAAGACGAGGCCCGTCGACTCGGCGTTGAAGCCGTAGTATACAGGATACACGAGAGGTAGGGACTATGATGAATGCGTCAGTGAGCGTCTTCATGGCTTGAGCAAGGCAAGTGCTTACCTCGAAGAATGAGTAGTAGATGCCGTAGCACAAACCCATGTATACCGTCGTGAACAAGATGGCGGGGTCGAGGGCATTGATCTCCCAAGGCTTGACCAGCGCGTCGAAGAGCAAGCTGCTAACCTTCATGTTCTTTTGCTTTCGCTCGGAAGCCGACATCAGCTCCTGGTTTCCTGTATCCTCTCGCATGCGCTTTGCTTTGTAGTATAGAATGGTGGGTCCGGAGCTCTCCGGCAGTACCAACAATATGGCGAGGTACACTGGACCTGCGATGATGAGCAGTTCCCAGCTTGAGAAGCGCCAGCCCAAGTCCTTGACGGCATACGAAGATAGTGTAGGTCCAAGCGCGGGACCGAGTGTCGCGACCGCCGCCCAGAGCGCAACCGCAAATGGGAATTCAGCCATCGTCCAGATGTCACCGAGCGATGCGCCAGCCGTGGCGAGACAGGGTGAGGCCATGACTGCGCGTCGAAGTCAGTATGTGTCGTATAAGTTATTCAAAGAACGTCACTTACATCCCAAGAGAAAGCGCAGTACCATGAGACCAGCGAAGTTGTCCACCAGCGCAGTCGGTATGCACAGGATGATGAAGAAAAAGCCAGATACCGCATACGGAGGGTTCCTGCCAATGGCCGGTACTTCAGATAGCGGTGAGAATAGCAGACATCCGATACCATAGCCTAGAACGTAGAGCGCAATGCCGAGCGAGGCCGCGACATGACTGACGTCGAATTTGTCCATGACCGCTTGTTGTGAGGATGTGTATATTGAAGAGCCAACGTACACAGCAAAGGTGTAGACGCATAGTAGCACAGTCACAAGTATCTTGTGGGACTGAGGCCAGTTCTGAGGGTTGCTTGGGTCGCTTGGTCCATCCCAGTCGACGAGGGTGGTCTGGTGCTGCTTAAGCTCTGTGCCAACATCATCTCCAGGTCCAGGGACGGCTTCCTTTGGGAAAGGGAGATCGTCAGTCGACGACGATGTAGATATTGGCTTTGCTTTTGTGCGCGCATAGTCGAATTTTCGATGCTTGATGTAATGGGCTAAGGTTCCGATGAAGGAGTGCTTGAAAAGGTATGACATTTTGGCGATGCTATCGTAAGGTCGTTGTCGATTTGGAGGAGATGCTAGACAGAACGAAGAGGTAAGTAGAGGTAGCAGTAGCGGCCCTGGACTACGAGATGTGAGGAAGATAGGAAAATTTCCGAGGAAGGCGGGCTTGTAAGATAAGTATTGAAACGTGGTGATGTTGCAGAACACTGAGAGTCTGTGCTACAGGCTTATATCCTCCATCGTGGCTGCTATCTTAACTCCACGTCTTACACGCCCAGCATCTGGGTTTGTCAGACTCTCGCGCAACTTGAAGGTACAGCTCTTGGCGCGAAAAATAAACGACACGATATGGACGTTGTGTCAGCGAGTTGAGCCATGGCGATAGCGTGCTCTTCGCATATGTCCCCGATAGCCCCTAAAACGGCAACAATCTACGAGAGTGAGTCTCACTCTCGACCACGTACCGATGCGCCATTGCAGGCTACAGTGAGTACTAGGCCGATCTGGAGATTCCCAGCGCTGCAACTCGTCGGACACTTCTCTGACGTTAGTTCAACGAAAAGCCTCTGGTGTTAGCGGAGTCAGCGGACATAAAACGTGATCGGACGTCAGATCTGATGATTCATCGACCAATACCCGCGGCATGTGAAGAGTGTGTATATAGAGTGTTGTCGCTTGGACGGACGAATGTGCGGAGAGGTCGGAGATGCGAATGCTCGAGACACCAGATTGGCGGGATAGGAAGCGAGGTAAGCATGTAACACCCGAAGGAGTAATCACCGATCAGCCTCAAAGCCTCCGGTCGGAGTCATCCTATCAGTGTAGCCATGAGAAAGCGATGCATACTCGAACATGATGATATTACTGATAGCAGGCTTACCAAATTATCAGTACATAGGGTATCGATAGTCTCCGGTGGAAACGTTCGATAATATTCGTCCGAAACCACACACTCTCCGGAATTTGTAAGTCGATACTGTGTGTGCGAAAAAGCAGGGTCGATGCTGATGACAAAGAATGGCTGCATTATCAGATGTGGCTGCTCGCAGCGTCTGCTATTCGTTGAGCCAAATCTCTTGTTGATGGCGTAAGCAGTAAGCACTATGATGTCTTATCGCCAACTCATACATGTCGCGATGTCGCCAAAGAAAGTAGTCGATTTGAAAAGATGTATTGTCGAAGGCAGGAAAGGTCCAAGACCAAGTCGTCCTGTCTGGCCTCGAGAGCTAATGTTGGGTGGGGCAACCACGTGATGCGGGGACACTGACGTAAACGCGTCCGTCGCGTCTGGCCCCTGACGCCGTCGCTGTCACCCAAAAGTCACCCAGCACACTACCAC